TTTTTTTTTTTTTTTTATGTAAGAAAATGATAAAACGCGAAACAACATCATATATGAATTTCAGCGTTTCAAATTTCTACGTTTCATTTTATCGAGCGTAGGCGCGATTGAATATAGAACGCGAATACTAATAAATTGAAATACATTGTGCATTACTACATCAACGATATTAACAAAATGGAATATCAAAGGAAATGTTCATGAAACAAAGGTCGAACAATATTAATCAAATAGGAGATTGTTTCACGAAATAAAACGTAAAGCAGTCCATTTTTCCATTTGAAAATAAAATTTTACAATCCAAGTGAACGGCGAACGCAATTCATTTGTTGAGAAATGATATTTCGAATGCGTGAATTCCAATATAACTTTTGTAGAAAAGTCGAATCACGACAGATGCGAAAAAGTTGCTAAATAAATGAACGTGATGACAACTCGCAAAATTATGATATCAAGTGCATTGAGCTTTTCGTTGGAAATTTAAGAAATTTCGAATGACGAAAATTTACAAAATTGTAAAAAAAAAAAAAAAAGGTCAAATTTAACACCTTGTAACAAAGAAAGTTGGAGTACATAAATAAATAAAGAAAAAATAAATACGTAAAAATGAAAGTATAAAACACTATATAAAATATTATTAAATACACTGAAATACTACAACGAACACACGTCAGTTGTATTTATTCGAAAAGGATGCGCAGTATGAATAGATTGAAATATCTGACTCGTCGAAGAATACGATATTATCGAGTGGAATTGTCGAGCATTGATAAATTAACGCAATTCTCGTATATATCTGGGAACAAAAGCAGTTTATTTATACTAAAATATATAATAACAAACAGTACGTTGTAAATACACGTTGCACGCTTCCTTTCGCAAAAAGATTTACTGTCTATGCGAATTTTACCAGAAAAAAAAAAGAAAAAGAAAAAAAAAGAAAACTGCCACTGTTCGTTGCAAAATACGATATTATCAATTACAATATCTAGAAGTCTCATTGTAAACTCGTATTGGAAAACAATTATTGCAAATGTATACGTAGTTTGGCGAGTTTCCCAAATGGGAATAAAATTTCAATGGATGGTCAAGTAATTTCTCATCGGTCGTGGAGTATTAATGCAACTTCGCTTAAAATTTAAACATTCCGGAGGAATTCGTGCAATTTACGTGCCTTAAATAAATCCGAGGCAAAAATACGCACGTTTGTTATTTACTAGCTTCGTAATTTCAATTTGGTGTGAGGCATAATGATCTCGATCGTTGCAAATGGGGTAGAACTCGCTAGAATAAAATATTAAATTCATTAAAAATAACAACGTCGATGGAAATTCATTATTCGTTCGTTAAATCGATGCAAACGACCTGTCGGAAATAAATTGAAAGCACAGAGTAAATATCATTGAAATGACTGACATCGCTGTAATGCTTTACCATAATAATAAACCGAACAAACTTTTTCGTAAATATATTTTAGAAAACGTATGATACATGTCATTGAACATTTGACATGATTAACTCATTAAAAATCAACTGCAATTTTATTTTTTTATTCAAATTTAGATTTAATTTCTTTTTCGAGTTCTGTTGTATTTATAATTTTCTGATATCATAGCTGAGAAGAATAAT